GTACCGGAAAAAATTTTCGTCGTAAGGGCCAAATTATTTTAGCAAAACAATATAGAAAAAATATATATATTTTTTTTTGTAGGGGTCGACTTTTTACATTTTTTTTTTTCATATCTTCGGAATTTACAGTCGAGTCTTAAAGTATGGTATACTGATGTTCTTGTCTCGAGTAGCCAATGTGCTTTTCTTCCAAAGCTCATTGACCTCAAGTGTCCCGTTCCAGTACTTACCCACTAGATCACAGCTCTAAATCACCCTAAGGTACCACCCTAATGTCAGTAAATTTAAGCTCACCAAAAATCAAGGGGCAGGTATCTGACATTACTTCCATGGGCCCTATAATTGGTGATAAAGTTCGTTTTGGATAATTTTTCGTTTCCAAGATAATTGCAAAAAACCAATTCGCGGCCAATAAATGAAACGCCGATTTCAGCGAAATTTGATGCAAAATTTCAATGTGACAAATTTTTAGTATTGATACAGATTTTGAGACTTACAGAATTGTGAAATTCTTTAAACTCGTCAGAAGCTTTTGCGATTGAATTATTCTTAGAAAATTCGATCAAGTAATCGTTCTATTTATTATTCGTTTTCTAATGAATTCGATAAAAGTGTTTCGATATTATTTGTTCCCGCTGAATAGTTTATCATTTCTTGACCTGCGGCTGATATGATAACCAGCATCTTTAGCACTATTTAAAAAAAAAAAGGTTCTTTTTCATAATTTTTGCACAGTCTTTGATATTTAAATTTTTGTTGTGTTTTTTATATAATGAGCTAGACTTTTATGAAAAAACTCAACATTAAATAAACAAAAGAAAAATAGCCAAAATTTGATCAAAGCCGTGCTGGCTTAATTAGCTGATCGCAAGTGTATGTATGTACATACATATATACATATTCATTTTTTGCTCTTCTGAAAATGTTTGTCATCAGACTTTGCAGATAATGCGAAGAAAATATATTTGTGTTTAATTGTTAATTCCGTTTAGGTAAAAATATTTGCGTCAGCAGCAGCTGCATAGAGTCTAAACAACATTAAAAACAAACAAATTTAAATTGCTGCTAATTTGTTGAAAATGCAGTTCGCTTGCAAAAGTCTTTAAATAAATGTCTCGCCAAGTTACATAATTTTATCACTAAAAGTCAAAAATTAAAATTTCGATTAAAGTTATCCATATTACAACTACGACTTACTAGGAAACTAAACCGAAAATGTCTATAACTCAAAAACCTATATTTTGAAAACATTCACAATATATATTTCTGTGTATTTTATTAACCGACTTTCAAAACAGGAGGAGGTTATCAGTTCGTCGGAATCTTTTTTTTTTTTTTTTTTTTTTTTTATGTATGTTACCGCATAACTTTGGACCACGTCAATCGATAATTCTTTTTGCATCGGAAAGGTAGTATCTCAGAGGTGGTCCCATACTAATCTGGTTAAGATCCGATCAGCGGATCATGAGATATATATATATATATATTTTTTTTATATGGGAGTTGAAGTCGGTTTTTTTTTTGCTAAAAATTACTAGTTATTATAGCTGTTTTTTTTTACATTACACCGTTTGGCTATAGCAATACTTTTCTATCCGCTTTATACCATGTCCCCACCAAAAAGTTAACCATCTCAAATCCAACTTAACCACATCACTAACTATTGCTGTCCACACTGCGGTTTGAGGTTTATAAAACAGTACAAATGTAAAGAACAGTGTTCGGACCTCCAAAAATCGATTCCGGACTAAATTACTGCAAAAATCGGAGCAAAAACAAATTTTCTGTACTAGATTGAATTTTTTATTTTTGTTTCTGACATTAATTGTTTGACTAAAATATTTTCTATTCATGCAAAATAAGAACGCGGGGCAATGTAAGGATAATCAGCCACATTGCGAGAGTCGTGCCGAATGCAAGTCGTTTTTCGAGAGTCGAATCGTATCGAAAATTTAGCGCCATTGCCTAAAACTCCCGCTCGACTTGTGTATTAAAACGGAAAAACTTGGCAGCACTGCATAGTTTTCGACCATTTTCGTCGTTTACTTATTTCAGCACGGCAGTAGACAATGCTAATGTTGTCGATTCGTACAATTCAGCCTAATTTACGACTTACGCAATGAGGCTGAATATGTTACATATTTAGGTAATTTTTAGCATTTTCTATATAGTAGAACGTATCTAACACTTAATTTTTTAAAAAGCAAACCTTTTCTACTTTATATAAATTTCATTCTACATATATTTTTTAACAAGTTAAGTAAAGTTCTGCATCCGCCAATTTGTACAGCCATACATCAAAAAATAACGAAGTTACTTTATTGACGCATTGCTATGAAAGAGTTACTTTTTAACAGTGAGATTTGGCTAACTTTCAATTTTTTTACTGAAACCGGTGGTGAACACTCAAAAAAACGGCCCCAAGAGGGGCATAACATGAATGAAAAAAACGGAATAGATTTGAAGTCAAGCGGAGTAGAGGAGTAGATTCCAAATTTTTTCAAAAACCGGAGTAAATCTAATCTGATCTTAGTTGAGTCCAACAACTAGTAGGGAACGAATTCTTTACATTTTAACGCTAATGACCCACAGATGGCGGGAAAACACAGGGTTGTATCAGACTTTCGACGTGGTTTCGAGTAAAGGCTCCGTTATGCATACTTGGCATGGATTGAGAGCTGTCACATAAGAAATCTGTTAAATGAGCCTCGCGTGTAATCGGTTATCGAACGCACAGCACTACATACGTAGAAGTCTGTTGGTTTTTGATTTCTACGTAAAAATGGTATAGCAGTGCATGCAATGCCAAGTATGCATAACAGAGCCTTTAGTTAGCTTGGTTAAGTGCTGTCATTTTTATATGCCGAAACTACGCTAAATCAAGTGGGTTATCGGGAGAACCAACTCAATAGCCATAACTACGTGGTTAGCTCCGGTGGGGACATGATATTAAGAGTGTTCTGAAAATGGCAAAAATAGGCTGAATTTTTTTTAAATTTAAAATCATGAAATACTTTTTTCCCTTGCGTATACTATGCATACATAGGTACCTTCAAACGAACTGATAAAAAAAAATATTTCATCAATGATTCATAATGATTAAGTGGTCAACTCTTGTTTTCCTTTGGTTAAAATTTCACCAGTGAAGCGGAGAAACACTTTCTAGCAGCCAATAAGTAAATGGGGGAAAAATACAAAATTACCTTTTGGTAGAATGCGCGCAGTTGAAATAAAAAGTGACTGCTGCTATTCACAATATTGGAACTGACTTTCACTTTGGCTGCGAGTGAACCGCGTAACTTCCCTTTACCACCTATGTATACATATACGTTCACCTCTTTAAATGAGTGTATATGTAAATATGTATGTTTATGTACGCGTTTAGGCACTAATTTATTTATCATTTTAACAATTGAGTTTATTTTCATTTCCTCGGAGTCATTCAAAATAATTTTCTGTTTTTTTTTTAAATTATTTTCTTATTTCGCTACACAGATATTTCCAGACAGCGCAATTGATGTTCAACGGTTTTCTCAAATCTCAAGGTTATCCAAAGAGTACCTTCTTCGATCCTAGTCGCGCCAGCGAGACCATATCTAACTTGTTCGATCATGTGGCCAAGCATCATCTCAATGTAAAGATCGACTCGCGCCAATATGTCAAACCGGCTGTGGGCTATGCCAAAGAATTGCTGAAATTGGGTCAAGCGCGAGGTCTACTGCAGTTCAATGCTACCGAACTGAGTGACAAACTAACAGATACACTCAATTTGGAGGTGAGTAGAAGAGTGAGTGGAGTTACTGTGTTACTGAGGTATCGTTTTTTTTTTTTTTATTGTGGATGAAGGAGAAATCTTCTCTAAAAAATTACTAAAACGAGCTTGGCGGAAATGAGAAAAAAAAATGCTGCTTTGAAGGTGAAAATGATAAAGATTAGAAAAAAAAAAAACGTAAACGTTATTATAAAAGTAGTAAAAGTAAAAATAATAATAGCGTAGCATATCAGTGCTCAATTTAACGCTTTTAGGTAACCTTTTTTTATACATATAATTAAAATGCTGAATTTTAGTGTGTTTCGCATCTAAACAACCGTTGTGCATGTGCGGTGTATTTAACATCTACAGTGACTAGCAAAAATTTTTTCACATTCGTTTTTTTCACGTTTTTCATGGTAAATTTTTTCCGAGTTATGCACACAATTAAGGAGAGTTCAGCAAAATTGCTTCAAAATTTCAAACCTTTTAATAAGAATTTTCTAAATAAATTCGACTACGCACTTTTATAGTACATTCAATTTTAGTACAGTAAAGTGCACGTCTGCTGAAGTTATAAAAAACGCGTTATTATTTTTTTTTTTTGCTGACGTTGTTGTGTATTTTCTTCTATACTATAAAA